AAATACACAGCTTAAAATACGTTCCACGTTCTGTCTTGTCTTCAAGCTTCATCCGTATAAGATACATTTATTAATTTTTTACTCAACTGTTTCGTTCCGGTGAGCGAGATTTCCGATTGCCCAATGTTTCAACGAACCAAAACTACACGAAGGAAAACGCTCGTAGTTTGACCTTCCGAAGTTTCATATACTCGACGTCTATAATTTGGAAGCTGGAATGTGGTAGCTCTTTCCGTCCGAAACACGATGTTCGGAGAGCTTCGGTATAATCGCGACGAGGTGAGGGCTTTAATATCGGCGACTCGGCGCGCACGCCGAACTCGTTTGCGTCAATCGGAAAACGTGCACAACGACCCGAATACCGCTTCGTCGTTGCGAGTACCCAACTTTCGAAGCGAGCCCGTCGACGCGCGCGAAATTTAACATAACCGAACAAACCGTCCGATTCGAAGCGACAGCTTCCCCTCTCGAAGCCCCCAACCCGCTACTATGCTCTCCAATTTCCGCAGAGCTAAATTTGACTAATTGCGCACCTTGTTTGAGCGGAAGTCAAACTTGGTTATTGCGAGACCCGTGATGTTTTCGTCTGGCCTGCTCTCGAAAATTACGCGCCGAAGCCTAATAGGGGGCAACGAAGGAAAAAAACGGTCACTGTATTCCATTTCACTCTCAGTCTCGCCGCACCCGGCGCTCCGACCCGTTGGAGCCATTCACACGGCACAAATATGCATCGTCATGGCGCTCTTGTAGTTGTTTGTTTCCTTTTAACAACTAAACTAATCGCGCTCACACAAAAATTTAAAAGAATCTCCCAATTTGGTAATGCACGAAACGCAGTATTTACGAAGTAATAATTTTCATGTGTTTATAGGTCACTAACTAGTCTTCTACAGTATAGGTGACGTGGCATAATTATTCTTAATTATTTGGTTAATTAGAAAAAATATAAAACACAGCATGACTTGCTTCAAACAATGAAGAACCTTATTAATTTGGCTTGGTCGTCCTCAAATGCACCAAAATGTTTTTAAAACTCGGCTCAATTTGCGTGGAATACCCTGTATGTAGATTATATATATATATATATATATATATATATAGAGAGAGAGAGAGAGAGAGAGATCAAGTAAGGATCAGGTGACGGGGGGTCACATAACCTTAATTTTCTCGCTAAATTTAGCGCGGAAACTACTTTGGTGTACAGTTCACGTGACGTCAGGTTACGTGACATCTATTTCCTCGCCTAATCTAGTGGGGAAACTGAATTGGTGTATCGGTCATGTGACGTCAATTTTTCCGCTAAATTTAGCGGGGAAACCAAAATGGTCGGTAGGTCCCGCGACGTCAAATTTCCCGCTAGTGGGAGATAGGTCACGTGACGTCAATTTCCCCTTCTAAATTTAGCGGGAAATGCACGGACGGATGGACGGACGGACAAAACGTTTTGGGGGATTGGGGGTAACGTTAAAAAACATTTCACGCTTTCAAAAAAAAAAAGAAAAGAAAGCACAAGATTTTTGGCGTTCCCTGTGCGTGATTGGCCCTGGACGGCAAACGCGCAAAGACAACCAGCGCTGTGACGATGCACTTTTTTGCGCTGCGTCATCCATCGGGTCGTCGAGTCTGCTTTGGTCGGACTGGGGAGTAACACCTGGTAAACACCCTTCCAATGTTTACGGGCCTCGTGCCTAATCTTCGCTGCCCGGCAAACGCGGGTTGGTGGTTGTCGAAAGCGAACAAGGCACGCGCCATACGCACAAACGCTGTAAATGCCAGCGGCCAAAGCTCCCTCCCCCACCTTTCTTTTTTTTTTTTAACTGGTTTATATTAACATTGAAGAAAAGAAAAAGAAAACTCAGATTTATGGTATAAAAAAAGATAATTCTTTTACGTGCCGCTTTGAAGGAGAGTTACGTTGATTAGGGGTCCGAATCCGAGACCCACACTCGCCAGGGTTAGAACGTCTATATTCAGCTAGCTCGCCTGCACCCTTGCTTTAACTTCACATTCAATCATCATTAGTCTGCCTGGCTAGTGTCTATCACACAGACTTGTGCCTACCTCAAATGCTTCACTGAAGATACTGTATTTCGATTACTTTTTATAGATATTTGGTATGTTGCAAATACATAAGATTGAGGGGGTTTGGTACTTTATCTTACTTACATTTCTGAGTATATTGTACTCATTAACTCAAATGCATTTTTTTCTTCAGTATTTGAAAAAGAAAAAGAAAAAGAAAATCGCAATAGGAACCGGAACACCCCAGCTGAAACTTGAACCCGTTGCAAACTTGAAGCCGAAAACAACCACACAAAAATATAAAAAAACAGGAAATGATTAAGAATCAAATATGCAGACTTAAAATGCCAACACGAACAAACAGAAGGAAATGAAACAAAAAACAAAACAAAAAAAAAAAAAACGATGTTCCTTGCGAGCTTTTTTTTTTTGGGGGGGGGGGGGGAAGGGGGGGGGGGTTGGTTAGTTTTTCATTTTCATCGGCAGCGTGCCCACTTTCTTTCGCCACTTTCACTCGCGGTAACTCTCTGTATGCGGGGAACGGTGATAACCCGACCCTGATTCATGAGGACAAAAATTACAACAGGCAGGAAACAAGCTATGAGCAGGATAAGCTCTCAAAACACAAAGAGTCTTCCCAAAGTTATGTGTCTTTCTGAACGCGATTCAATGGCTTAGTATCGGTGAAAACATATAAAAGAAAAAGGACAGCCACGTAAAAGACAGCAGTGCTTCCCCGTTTCCGCCTCTGCCTTTCTTTTTGAAGTTCTGTTTTATCTCATGCGAAGGTTTGGTAACCTACCCGAGGAAAGCGCGGAAAGTGCCGTGTTACTAACTTTTTATTTTTATTATTGTGTACTTAAAAGTTGTTTAACGTGAACTCCGGATATGGTGACAGTGGCTCTATGGTAAAACGATGCGTTCAATGTGCGTATTATAAAACCAGCACAATTTCAGATTTCCCGCGTCTTAAAAGTATTGCTTAAAAATGCGTGTATTATCTTCTATAGTCGGTGACAGGTCAAGAACGAAGTGGAAGCTGCCGCACCTCTTTCTACTTTAATAGAGCAAACGCTGGAGAGGAGGTCGCCTCCTCTCCACCGTTCACTTTGCTAAAGTGGAAAAAGGTGGAAGGAGCTTCCACTTCGTTCTTGACCTGTCGCCGACTATAGAAGATACTACTCGTTATACTTGGACTGCATAAAATAACACTGTTGTTTCGCTTTTGTTGATTTCAAATTAATCATTCTGATCAATACAAATTGCGAAATGCGGAAGTATTTTCGAATTGAAGGTAACGGAACTACATTTCTAAATATTTGTACCCTACTCAAGATATTCTGCAGTGAAAGTCAATCGAGTGGTGCCCTAAATACCCTATAAATCAGGTTTTTGGTAACTTATTTTAAATACTTCTGTCGATTATCTCGTTCAACACTGCTATTCCATGCATGTTAAAGTGTTCGGTGCGTCTGCTTTACCGCAAAGAGCTAGGAATCACTCTAGAGATGCATTCTATGAACGAATTTCAGCGAATGGCGAGGCTAATAGTTTGTTTACTCTCTGCATAAAACGGTCTGTGCTCTGACTTTAACTAAGCATAGCGCTTCACGTGCTCATGTCGTGCTCATTGTCATAGGGCAGACGGGTTTTTAGGTCTAAAGAGATTTGAATCCTCGTCATTTGCCCAGCTCACTCCGTGCAGGGTGTACCAAAAAAAAAATAGAAATATTTTTAATGCGAAAGCATTAACTGTACCATGGAGCGAGCCGACGTCATCTGATTTAGGTGCCACGCCAAACGGCAGCTAAACTTATTTCTCCAAGAGAAGTTGGCTCTCAGCTTTGAAACCACGCGAAAAGCCTAGCCAAACGGCACCTAGTTTCCCCGATCCCAAAGGAGCGGAGTTCAGCTGATTAATTTCGGCTTCCGTCCCATTGGCTAGCACCCGTCATAGTTTCAAGAAACGAGTCTCTTATTGGCCGCTGCGCGTCAGTTCCAAAGACCGCCACCCCATGGCGCTGCGTGTCCGCGATTTAGCGGCTCCACCGCTCCACGCCCAAGGTCAGCGTGCCGAGGAGAGCGCACGCGCGCGCTCGACCGTCAACGCAAGTACGCCGCCGACGGAATAAGGAAGCGGAAGAGCGGCATGCATGCTTTCACATTCACAAATCATAAGAAGTGCTTAGGTGTACCTCGAGCCTTTTTTCTTTTTAATTTTTTCCGTAAAAATAAACTATGCATCGCGGAACAATCATTCTTCGCCCCCAAAAGAAGCGCTCGCGGTGTGAACTAGATACCATAGTTTGAAGTCTAACTGTTTTCTCATTCAAAAGTTATAGGCGATTTTCTGAAATTTTCATTGGGAAAATGTGGCCCGTTTTCGGTAACTGGCGCCATTCAGCTCCGTGTATTCGGTGTCATTTGCCCATCTATAATTTCAGAATATCAGTTGTAACTTTTTAAATAAGATATCGGTTAATTCTGGAACTTTCGTATCCGGTTTGGACCGCTGAGCTACATTTGGGCGGAGAATAAGCGTTCGGCGATACGTAGGTTATTTTTGCAATAAAAACAAGAAAACCTGTATATATTTTTTTCTTTAAAAAAAAAGGGAGGGAGGGTATATTCTGCACATTGCAGAGCCTGGTGTTTTCCGTGCTGCGCGAGAAAGCACACGCAATGGACTTTTTAAAGTGCGCCAACCTAGTCGGAACCGGAATGCCATTGTAAAAAGTATCGCGAATGTGCCGCTAAGATATTCGACAATGCCGCGGCCGGGCAGGACGGCCCGCCTTTTCGCTCTAGCCCGGCCGCGACTTTACATAAATGCCCTTCACCCGTGTGCCATTTGTTAGCTGCCAAAACTGATCTTTTCTAGATTCACTGGGAAGCGCAGCCGCATGAACGGGTAAAGAAGAATTCACGCAAGACCTTCGTGTGGTGAGAATAACTTTGGGGTCTAAAATGTCGCTAACCTGTAGGCTGACCACGGTGATGAGGTGTAGCGAACCTAATGAAATGAAACAGAAAGTGAAGGTCAGTTATGGCTTTGCCCGTGAACAGCCGCTGAAAAACGTAAATCCTGACATTTGATAGAAGAGACAGCAAAAGTGATGAGCGTGAGCCCATTTGAACACGCGTGCAGCGTTAGTAAGAGCTCGTGGCCTTCGCTGTGAAGTACAGCTTAAGTATAACAAATCTAAAAACTCACTTGTGTGACTTTATTCAAACCCGCAGTAAGAGCTCTAATGTGCACTAGAAATGTTTTATTCCTAATTTGTTTCTAATAAATATTTAATAAAAAAATCTTGCTCGGGTGCACATGCACATAATCAGGGGGGGCGGGGGGGGGGGGGGGGTAGGGATCGGTGGCTGAGTGGGCTAGCACCACGGTGTGGCTAGCACACACCAGCTCGGAGCACGTGAAGCGAAAGCTCGCGCTGCAGAACCCAGGGGTCCTGGGTTCAATCTCCACCCCTGCCGGTTTCGATCCGGATGAGCATCGTACCGGCGTGCGGTCGTGTATCACTACTGTGTGATGCACGTTAAAGACCCCTGGCTAGCGGTTCTACAGCACTGGCGAAATTTCTCATGTGGAGCTGGGAGACAACTCGCCCGTTAAGGCAAACTACGTTCTAGGCTCTATAAGCATACGCACCCCCCATTTGTTTTTTCTCTCCATATAATCACTTAGACATCAAACGTGATAAAGTACAAATGCACGTTCAATTTTTCTCGGCTGTGAGTGCCGTCACTAGCAATTTTATTACTTGTGCCCTGTGCTTTCCAATCCCTCCACAACTTCTTTTATTTGCAGCCTTTCTCGTTGCTTCCCCAAATTTCAGAGGAAGAAGCGTATTTCTGTTCATCTCGTTATTTTGTATGGAAGTGTGGTGCTTCTACCAGCGAATGACTTTTCCACAAGGGTGCACTTACATCACGCGTCATAAGAGGAAAACGTAAATTTTTCCCTTATTGAAATAATAAAAATAAAACTCGAGAAAAAAGGCGACCCCTTTTCCAGCGTTCGCTCTGCTAAAGTGGAAAGGGATAGGAGGAGCTTCCACTTTACTCCTAACCCGTCACCGACTATATACAATAACCTCTTAATCTTGAGGCCTGACGAACGGCAGTGATGCATCCAGAGGAGGCTAGACTGACAATAAAAACTACTGTTTCTGATCATCCGTGAGTAAACGCAATAAAACTTTGCTTATAGATGTAATTTATCACAATCTATGTTTTCAGCTACGTAGAAGTTAAGTAACTTTAGTATATTGTATATTTCAACGTTTGATTATCATAGTTAGTTATCGGAGTAACTACCCTCAACACTCAGTGTCACAGGTTGTGTAAACGTAATTATTTATGGAGCTGTTTTTAAAATTCGCGAGAAGATTCGTGTTTCTACTTTTTTCTGCTTTTAGACTAGTGACAATTAAGTCTGTAATGTTATGGGACGTAAGGTGCAGCCCTTAAGAGTTTTCGTAACGCGTGCGCTTTTTCCAGATTAGTTGAAGCTGTTGCACCCCGAACGTAACTGCTTATTAAGAATTATAAACCCTTCGACATTCGGGGGTGAGGAAAAGGATTCGTTGGCTTGTGTGTTCCTGCATTGCAGGTTGGGCTCCAGTAGAAGTCTACACTAGAAGCCTTTGTACACAAGCCTTCAGTATAGACACTTCCCGAAATTGCTGCTGGCAGCCATAAGACGCCACGTTTGAGTAGGCTAATGAATTATGGCGTAGGCTAGGTGGCGCAAGCTGCTGACCGTTACAATGGGTATAGCCATTAACATCCATCAATCCATTCATCCACTAGGCTAAAAACTACAAAAAGCAACGCTGTTTACGGGGTGCGCCTCCACGACCCTGTAAGCCGTCGCCACCTCGAGGGCGGGTGACACCGCTGCCGACAATCTCCTACATAGTAGGAGCTTGGCTACGATTATGGATGATTTCATAATAGGCGAAGTTAACGTGTACTATACTACCCTGAAGACGAGCGACTGTAAAGGGTGGTATAGCTGCAAATTTGTCAACCTTTCTTCGTGAATAGATCCCCGATTCTGCGTTAACGACTGCCGTGAGTTACGTACTCTGCGTTAATGTTTTCATGACCTGTGCATTGTATACCCCTAGGTCTTTGCCTTTACTAACGGAAGTGCTTGCATTTGTCGCGGTTCGCGGCGGTCATCAGTTTTTTTGCGACCGACAGGATCTTTCGGAAAGCAATCGAGGATACTGTGAAAGAAAATAACAGGCAGCAGGGTTCATCAGAATCACTGCAGTGATAAAGGGTTCTCGCGTCGATGGCATTACTCATGGGCCTTGCAATATCGTCATTGAAGCGCGACATGAGTATGGTAGGAGCGCGTGCGTGCAAGCAGTTTTTGAAGGCTGTGTTGTGACAGCACTGGTGGGTCAGGTACACTATTCATAGCGCACTTTCGGTCATGCAAACAACATCGCACAAACATTTGTCCTTTCGAAGTAACGTATTCTATACTCGTTTTTACCCCAAGAACCGCAGTAAAAAAAAAAGTACGGCTTCTAACGGAGCATTACTAATTTCCCTCATTATATATGCTTAGAATTGAGATATATGTAGGTGCATTATAGATTAGATATATGTTACCTTATCAAGACGTACACGTTTCAAACGTTAAAAGCGTTGCTTTTGCTTCCGACAACCAAATTTTGTAAAACCTTCTTACGCGCGGCGCAGGAAAATCGAGCAAAACTTCAATTTTTTCTTGAAGGTAAAAATGGGCGTAGAGTCCTGTGCGTACGTGTGGTTTGCGTGCGCGTTTCGTTCCCGCTCAAGGCGGTATAGGATCGTGTTGTTTAGACTGATTCAGGAAACATGATACTTCATCTTGTCTTTATTATTATCATTCAATCCTATATGCGTACAGTGACGTGACACGAAGCAATGAAAAGGTATCTTACGAGTACCGCTGCAGCAGCGGCGGGAACGCGAGTGCTTCTAACACTCTCACCATATCAATGGCGGCCAGGAGTGGCCAGCCTCAGCGCAGTTTCAAAACGCGCCGCTACTAGATGGCGAAAAATTTGCGAAAGGGTTTACTAGAGAGAAGCACGAAGAGTGGACAGGCGACTACGTGTGTTTTGCTGTATACTGCGACTCGCTATTATGTACACCGCAACTGGAATCAGTAGGGAATTGTAGTAGACCGTTTTTCTCCTCCGCTACGGTATCCGTGAAGAAAACGCCGCAGCTGCGCATGCGCGCCGCCAGCCTTATCTGCATAGTTCAAGGTCTTGCGGCGGATCACGGAGCGCTAGTCGGGTACTTAGCGGGCTGCGGAAACGGTCTACTACAATTTCCCACTGAGTAAGGTGTACGGTTCAGAGCAACGACACTTTAGCCATGTTGGGACGTACAATGACTTTTGCCACTGGTCGGAAGTTTCGTCTGAAACAGTAGGAAGCTGCATGTTTTCTGTCTTCCGGAAATGTTAAAACAGCCGGCAAAATAGCAATACGATATCGACTCAGCTTTTTACATAATATTTAAAACTCTGAAAGTCGCATTTCTGTAATCATAGCGATTGCCGATGGCGCTCGCTCTGCACTGACCTATTCCCGCTCAATTCACATGAACATAAACAAAAATTGGGAAACGCAAATGGCGGCGCTCACAAGAAAACCCGTGAATAAAGTGTCGCTACTGTAAGCTTACCTTGTTTTATTTAGTGGCAGACTGTAAAGCGCCGCGAAAAGACAACGGACGAAGAACAGCACCAAACGATGTCAGTTCGTGTACTTCGTCCGCTGACTTTTCACCAGCGTCGCTTGAAGTGAACCTATGAAGTATCTAAAGTAATTTGTTGAATACAAAGTAAATTAGAGGTTATGTGCTTCAAGTAAGGTAGCAGGTACATCGGTGAAATCTATTTGCAGTAGAGTAATAGAAATGCAACATACTTTCAAAGTAATGTACAAGTACTTTTTAATGCAATCTTTCATGGTGCCCTTTCAATCCCCTATGCAGTGCTTTTTGTTTTTGTTTTTTTACTGGTATGCAATGCATTGCTTTACAGGTAATCAGGGGCTCATCAATTATTTTTGGAAATGTCGGCGATTATCGAATAAAGTCAAGTGGCTTAGGAATGTCAAACCATAATTTTGTGATACAAATTTAACATGACCAAATTTGTAAAATGTACTCTGAAGCACTACCGTGAAGCCTGAAGTTGTACTTTCTTCGCGAAGTACCTAATTAATATTTTTAATGAAACTGCAAGTGTATAGTCGGAGAATGTACAGGATGTCCACCCAACAAAATTTACCGTTTCTTTTTTTTTTTTTATCGCTAAAATAATTTAATTATCGCCGAACGCTTATTTTCCGCCAAGTAGTAGCCCCAACTAAAGTCACTGTGGGTCCGACTGTTTGGCTTGGCTGGTGTGTAGAGAACAAAATCTTGGTATACAAGAAACGTCTTTATAAAGCAACCCTTCACCGGAAATTTAGATCGGCTCACGAAGAGCGGAGAGGTCATGGACAAACTGCTTGTTCCATGAACAAAAATGGCGACCATACAGAAAGCTTGGCTCTACTATCCCAGCGTCCACTGACTTTAGTCCCAACCAGATGCCAAAGCCTTCAACAATAACTGTTATTTGATTCAAACGTTATAAGTGTGGTAGTATTTACCTGATTGTACCGGTCGTACCGGGTAACAAGCAACACTACGTGTAGAACGTTTTGAGATCCCCTGGGCGCTGTGTCCTCTTCTTCCTCTTTTGTCCCCCTACTTGCCCCGTTTATTCGGACTTACAAAACAATATTATTACATCTCTTTTTCTCACGCAAAAACCAAAAACATGGTGTCAGAAGTGCTCCGGAAATGGAAGCCTTATCGAACTCGGAGAACGTAACGGCCCCAACAACACTGCTAGCAACGGGTTTCACGGCGCCGGCAGCCTTTGATTTCAAGCGCCCAGAAGAATGGCCAAGGTGGATCACCCGTTTTAACAGGTAC